CTACATATTTATAATAATCTATTTGAAAACATTTAATATTCTTCGAATATTTCAATATTGTACGGGAAGTACCAGCAGAAGGCACAATGCCACACACCACTAATTATTTATTTGCTTGAACATCAAATTCCAAATATAAATTTTTTACAATATTTCACAATATTTTACAATAAAATTTTTGGGAAAACTTGATATCTGTAAAACTTCTGTTTTCTTTTATACTTGTTTATTATACTTTTATTTTTCTGATCTAAAAGCTTTCATATATTTTTTTAGCAAAGAGGAAATATTTTTGATGCATCGGATATATAAGAAATTGTATTTTTCACTCTTCAACATTGAAGCATTGAAATTAAGAAAAATTTAATAAACATTCACTAAAATTTCAATTATACAATTCTTAACATTTATAATTAATAAAAACAATGTAATAAAATACATGAAGACTCATAATTAATTGATTTTAGTAAATGTATAATTTAATTTTCAGTGTATTTTGTATAACTTATAATTAACTATGCGAACTAGTGAGATTAGCATCTCAACGTAAATTTTAATTAAGAATTACATATTTATTAGTCAGCTAAATGTTTCCAGGTATCTAAACGAGAAGGAGATTCTTCTCTTATGCAGTTAAAAGAAGAATTTCGAACCTATGATGCATTAAGGCGAGAACATGATGCACAAATTGTGCAAATTGCCACAGAAGCCGGTTTAAGAGTAGCACCAGACCAATGGAGTGCTTTATTGTATGGTGATGCTGCACACAGGTATTGAAATTTTTAGTAAATATGGATAGAAATTTTTATGACTTTTTATGAAGAATATCAATGATGGTATCAGTTGGGAATAAATATTTTTCTACTTTTTCTTAGATCACATATGCAAAGTGTGATGGATAAACTTCAAGGACCACAAAGTTTTGCCCTTGGTGTGCAAGAATTGGTGATAGCTTTGCAGAGAAGTGGAGATCCAGCTGATTTGGGAGGTCTCACTAAAAGCTTAGAACTACTAGCGGGAATTGATGCAAATGCAGGTCTTATATTTAAGAATATAAACAATAAATCGACTTAAAAGTTATATGTATACATATATATATACTAGATTACCTGATAGACGTTGCCCTGTCTACAATTCAAAAGTTCCAAATTTTTTAATATCTTATCTTATACTTTTTATATCCTATTTGATGTCCTGCCTTTTTGATTCATTTATAATCTTAACATAAGCAGTATAAGAAATTCAGAAAAAAATAATATAGTATTTGCGGTAAAAGAACAATATCACACTTGATTTTACCACACAACATAATTGCTTCAATAATTTAGTCTATTATTTTCAATGTCAAACAATGATAAGTGGTTTTTTGTAATTTTTGCTATTTATTTCTACAATATTACTCTAGTTTTATTGTTCATTAAATCTTAAAAATTTCTTTTAAAAACTCTAAAAAGAATTATCTAAATCCGAATAACCCGTACAGAAGAATTTTATATATAAGATATATATATATATATATATATATATATATATATATATATATATATATATATATATATATATTAATTTGAATGTTGAAATTTTTTCTCAACTTATGTGCTCTTATAACCTAATATATAATTTTTGGTTTAAAATGTTAGCATAGTTCTAAATTATATATATATATATATATATATATAATATATCTTCTTTACACAGAATCTGTAGTTCCAACTTGGCAGCAATGTAGTGCAGCATTAACAGCCGTTGCCCGAGTTGTCTTTGGTTTAGTTGATTTTATCATGCATCATTCCCATGGAAATTCTAATAATAATTTGGGAAATACAAATGTGTCTGGTATGTGTCGCTCTGGAAATATAGTCTGTAAACAAAGCGAACAAATGTCACAACATTTTAATGTCGGTGCTGCTGCACCACAGCCTATCACCATCAATGGAGCCAATGGCGTCAACAGTAAATATAAAGTTAGTATGTGTAGAGATCTCACATTGAAGAATAGTTGCCCAAGAGGAGTAAATTGCACTTTTGCTCATTCTGAGGACGAATTGGACAGGTACCAAAAGATAATCTTGATCTTGTTTTAAAATATTTCATTTGTTTAAACTAAATTTATTAGATCTTATTGCATCTCTCTGCTCAGTCATATTTTCTGTTCACATGTATAATACTGTTTTCAGAGTATTCCACTAATAAATATGGTAAATAGAAGATACTTGAATTATTAGTTTGTTTGGAGTGCCTGGCAATTAATAAAATTTATATAAAGATTATTATTATATAATATATTAAATTTTCTTGAATTTTATAACTACTGTTTTAGTATTAGTAATTAGTTATATGCTAAGAATTGACTACAAAATAGTAAAGCTCAATTATAATTAGAGATTATTAGTGTCAAAATTGTTATTTTAGTACTTATACATATCACAATTATGATCACATAACAAAATATACTTATATTTATAAGCATGTAAATATATTTTGTTTATCTTGCAGACATAGAGCAAAAAGTCGTAAATCTCTAAGACCGACAGGTAATAATAAAACTATAACAGATGAAAATTTTAAACAAAATTATCAAGCGATGAGTCCAATCAATATGGTTCCCACTCACAATATGCCTGCACCAATGCCACTGCCTCTTAGAATTCCTAATGAACATTTGCATTATAACACTGGTTACAACATGTCTACAGCCAGACCGGTACTGCCAGTTTTAGGTATTGTAACATTTTTACACTAAAATATAACATTAGTAAATTGTATACTATATAAAATTATTTATTTATTTATATGTAGGTGACCATAGATTTTCAAATACACATGATGGATTTGCCACAAGTCAAGGAATTGTTTTAAGCCCAAATAAGCCAAATATGGAATATTATACTCCAAACAGGTAATTATATGATTATACATTTTGTAATAGCATATTTTATCAACTTCCGTTAGGGTAAGTTATAGTAATCACAAAAAATTGAAAATGAAAATTTTTATATATCTTTGTTTTAAAGGTTTCTGAATATTTTGGCATACCTTAGAAAAAATGGATATATGTGTGTCTTTGTTGTGTATGTATGTGTGTGCGGATACAAATTTTCATCGACGATTTCGGGAACACCGATCAACCGATTTGAATAATTATTTCATTCGATTCGAAATTGATACGCGCTGATTAGTTTTTGGCGAAAGCCAAAAACGGTAACTCAATTTTTAAGAGAACGGAGCATCCGACTTCAATAATTCAAAAAACATTTTACTTGTATTGACAAGATGAAGAACTGATTAAATTTTTGGGAAGGCAGGTCTAGCGCTTATGGACTCTCAATAAAAATAAGTTAAAAAAATGTCATTTGGCAGTCAAAAATGTTTATTGGACATATGTACATCAACTTATCAGATATTTTATAGAGGTTTTAATAATGTGTATACATTTTGTGTAAATTTTTTTGGGCTTCGTACCAAGATTTTTGATTACGGTACGGGAAGTTCCAGCAATTTGCCTTAAGGCACGATGCCATGCACCCCACTAATTACTTTTATTAATTGTATTAAAATGTGTAATTTAAATTCTATTACAAGTTTTTATTATATTACAAGGTTTATGCTTATTTGTATCAAACTTATTCTTAATAAAATTCAAAATATAACGTTCTTTAAACATTAATTGTACTCGTATATAATTTTTGTGCCATAATATTTATGACCATATTCCTTTGAAACAGCTTGACCGATCTTTATGAAATTTGTCCATCACTTTTTTTTTATAGGGTATACTTAAGATTTTTTTTAGTTTTGAGGGCATTTTTTAATTTCATTTTTTTATCATTTGTAATTAAGATACATACATTCCTAAATTTTTACCGTATTACCACCGACCCCGACGCGAATAATGTTTCATACCACATTCAGTCAGTGAATGGTTCTGACATACTTTTGACTCGGATTCTTTGAGCTTATGAAAAGGCTTGAATTTTACTTTAAAAAAGAGTTTGTTTATCAAGGGTTGGCCAACCCTAACACTTTCTTAATTTTGGGGTCAATTTAGTTTTTTCAATTTTTGAAAGTTTGAATTTTGAATTTGAAAAATTCTCCAAAATATAGAAATTTAACATTAAAATCTGTAGACAAAACTGTTTTTGAGAGGGAACTGGAGATTTTTTCATAGTTTTTGAAATCGCTATCACACACAAATCAATTTAAAATGGTGTGTAATCGTAATGAGTAATTTCTCACACTATTATTCCCTGATTAGAGTTAAAGTTTAATGTGTGGCATGATCTAGTAAGTTGATTATAGATGCAATTAGTCGATACGTGATTTTCCAGTGCCTTTCACACCGCTGTGCCTGAAATGAGCTATTTTTAATTGAAAATACTTATATAGTAAAAATTAGTAGGTCCGAGACGTGATTTTCCATTGCCTTTTCACACCGCAGTGCCTGAAATGAGCTAATTTTAATTGAAAATATTAATTAGTCACAATGCTAAGATTTTATAAAAACACTGTAAACATCATGGTGAGAGTTTTGAGATTTGTTTTCAACTTTATGTAGAAAATTATGAAAAATAAATATTGATTTATTGCAATTCCTAGCTTAATTGCAAAAATACACTATATAATTTTACATTTAAAAGACGTACGTTTTCGGACTTTGCTTATGTCCACAATGAATGTGCTCTTATAGCATCAAATATCTATATAAAGACTTTTTTAGCTATCAATAGTTATTTTCCATACAGTAGGGGTATACTGGTATAGAATTTAATTGAAGATATTATTTACCATATACTAATTATATTATTTGAATGATTTGTTCATTTAGAATGGATTCCGCCCGAATGCAAAACTGGGATTCAAGTTACTACCAAGTCGTCAAGTTATGCATGCAAATAATTTCATAAAACCAGTGAGAAATTTAGCTGCATTACAACAGAAACGATTAGATTATAGCACAATTGGAAATTCTGGCAAAACAGACAATAAATAATGCTGCTAAAATGAATGGCAATAATGGAGTTATGGATAGGCAAGATGATGTCAGTTGTAGCTGGGAGGAAATGAAGTTTTACGTTTTCTCCGGTCGAATCTGTAAGAAATTTCTTACAATCTTTTTTATTACATTTCATAATCAATTATTATTTGAAATTATTCATAACCAAATTTTATATCATTCATAATCAGATTATTTTTAAAAGAACTATATTAAGATTATTTGATGAATATGCATGATTACTTCATTCAGCGTATCAACCTATGAGTGAATTTTTGTGTACTTCTAAGTCAGTCTAAGCAGTTCCGAATGAAAATATGATTTTACTTTGGAATCATATTTTAAACTTACTAAATTTTTGAAACTAATAAAATACTGCTTATAAAGTTAGATAAAAATAAACTAGTACGTTAAAAATATTAGTAAACATAAAATTAAACATAAAATTAGTAAATATAAAATTAATATATTTTAAATTTTGTTGCTATTTATATTGCAGCAAGTGCGGTTTTTGTGAGGTCTGATTCAATTTTAACAGATGATGACTATGTACCTTTTGAACCAACAACACCAACGCCTAAGTATGGACCAATTTCGAGGATGTCTAACCAGTCCATTGGCAGAAACTCACAAGGCGCTAATAATGGTAATGGTCAGTTCATAACTGAAGGAAAGAGAATGAATTCTCCTTGGATGTTTTCTCAGGTAAAGTCAATTCTGCCAATTAAGAAGCATGTTATGACTGGTTATATTTTGCAAATGAGCCTCAATCTTTTATTTGCACTATCCAAATCAACCTGTTTTTATCTGAAAGCAATGTAATTTATTATAATGTACTATATTAATTTGTTGAGCGAGCATTAAATGAAGTTATATAGATTTAAAAAAATATTGATCATTCAATTCCTGTCATTAATGCTAAGTAATACATTTTTAGCAAACTCTTAGTTACACAAAATTGGTTTCAATGCTGCTGTATTTACAAATATTTGATTTCTGTAGAATTTTGTCATAGTTGATAGTAATTACTCTACAAATCAATTTAAATCACAATTATTATTTTTATTGTGAAGCTGCCTGTATATATTCAAACATATTTTTTCATTCATCTAAATAATTTATTTATATAAATATCAAGATAGAATTGATGTGCATCTTAATGAATGGGCCGTAGAGCATGCTTGGAAGACCAGCCCATAGGTTGAAAAGAAAATTAAAAAAAAAAAAGTTTTAAACCTAAAAAATACTTTTATTTTGTCTATATTTTATTATTTTTTTTTATTATTTTAGTAGTAGATACGCCGCTGGATGTTACTACTATTTTACTTGCTACTATTTTTTAGTTAATATGTCTTTTATTAATATTTACTTGCTACTATTTTTTAGTTAATATTGTCTTGTTAGCAGTCTTTGCTTATTGTTTATAAAAAAACATATTGATATATATGTTTATAAAAAAACATATATTTGAAATTTGATATTTATGTTTTTTTGTTGTGATGTGTGATGTTTAATTAAATAAGTATGTAAAACGATTTTAGAACCAGGTGTATCAGCCTTCCAGTGTCGTGGGAACCATAAATGAAGCATATGTCCTCAGTCAAGATCCGAATAAACAAATGTTAAATGAGAACCAGGTAAATCATTTAAAAATGATAGATTTTTTTAATAAAAGTAGGTTTTTAATTCAGAAGTCTAAGAATAATAATTAGTAATAACTATCCAGAAAATTTGAACAACATATATTTATTTATATATATATATATATATATATATATATAATTAATAAAAATTAATTAAATAATAAAACAATAAAAACCTTCTAAACAGGCATCCATCCAGATAATAAATAGAAAGAAAACTAAATTATGTTTCTAAAATAAATTGAATAGATTCATACGTCTTAATTGGACTCTACTTTCAGTGGAACAGTACACACAAGTAATTAAAAACACTAAACACAAAACAAAACATATCAAAGAAAATTATACTTAGAAACAAATGAAACACAAATCTTTTGATTCGTGTTTTGTTCTTCTAGATATGATGTTAGAATTATTAATTTTTTGTTTAATTCATTTTTAAAATATAAATCATATTTATTTATTTTTCACTAACATGCTTCATTCCTAAGTAATAATTTTCTTTGAATGTTTGTTTTTTTTTTGTTTAGTGTTTTAATCTCTCATGTGTTCTGTTTCCACTGAAAGAGAGTCAAATTGGAACTTGAAACATATGGATCTAATAAATTTATTTTAAGAAGCATATATATACATAAATATATATATATATATATAT